TCTGAATTTCAGTTTAACCAGCACAAAATAGAAATTAACCATTCTATATTAAGGATTAGAAACGACTTAATTAGATCAAAATAAAAGAACAAGCATGAATTAAGGAGGGTTAGATTTCGTTGGGTTGTCTTGTCTCCTTCTTAAGCAACACATCTTGGATTCTTGATTTTGGGGGGTTTTCCAATGCATGTTTGGCCACAGATTATTCTAATCTAACCTTAGAGCTTAAATTAATCTTTATCTTTTTTATGTAAAAAAGATTAAAAGACTCCCAAATTGGCAAATTCCACTAGATCTATATTCCTCTTTAATTTGTGTTGTGGGTCCTCCTCTCCAACTCATATTTGGAGTTGGAAACAAACAGACCCTATATCCCATCAGAATTCAGATGCGGTGGCTGCTCGTGCTTCTTCATTCATCAGACATGTAAATTCAGTGACAGAAAAAACAGATAAAAAAGCAAAAGGTTGGGTGGGTGAGGAGTGGATGAATCAATTCATCTGTTCTGTTGTTTGTACTACTTTATTTTTAATCAGACTCACGTCTGGGTTGTGCGGCCCACATGAATTCCTCCTCCAATCACTCCTGAATATTGCTCATCACCGACCAAATCCACAGCGCTTTACTATATTTATTATTATGTGTGTGTGGCTATATATGTTCTGAAATTTCTAACTCCCCAGCCGACAGTATGTATCGATATGAACTCTGAAACAACTCGATCCCTCATTAAATAACATATAAGAGGCCTTGCTAATTTCTTATTACAGCATTGTCGTCCCATCAAAATCAAATTCATGTTAATTTAATAAAAGTCCTTACTTAGAAATAATATACAATCAAATACTAATACTGGGTTATCTCTAATTTATCTATTTTTTTTTTTCAAATATCTTGAGTGCAATAGAAGGAAGCAAAAGAAAGAATGAGGGAGAGGAGAAGATCATTCTTTATTGTACAGTTACCTCACCTGGTTTATAGTTGTTTTCAGTTTAAATGGTTCGTGCTTCCCAAATCCTGGCTCATTTGGTTCGCGAAATAGGGGTTTGGAATTGGAATTAGAATTGGAATGATTCATTCCGATTCCAGTTGTTTTGTTTCATAGAATTGGAATTTCATTCCCATTCCTATTGGAATGACATTCTCTCATTTGAGGGAATGGTCGTTCCCCTCTCCCTTCCTTGAAAATAAAATCCCATTCCAATTTATTTCAATTTTAAACGTGATTTTTGTCTGAACCAAACAGATTATAGGAACCACCATTCCAGTTTCGATTTCAAAAGATTTTAATTTCGGTTCTGATTGAGAATCAAATGAAACCTTAATTTGGGTACATAATTTGCTTAATCTGGTTGTATTTCAGAGCTGTTTTCAAAGAAGTAAGAAAATGTTCCCCTTTCATTGTACGGTATTGTTGTTTAGTTTGCTTAGTCGATATTGTTCTAATCAATTTGATTGCAGATCCATAAAAATGATGTCTTGGCATCTTGGGCTGTTGTATTATTGCCAAACTTATTGATCCAACCATTCAGCCCTGCTGGTTTCCCAGTTTTTTTAGCTATATTCTCTTTTGATGGTCCAAAAGGATGCAACCCATTGAATGTGTGCAGCCATCCATCCATTGTTCCTTTCACTGGAAAGAAATCATTGGATCCAGTTGACTTCGGGCCTAGTATGTAGAGTCCATGGATTCCTCCAAACAAACATTGAGAAGGGACATTGTATGGTGTAAGAAACAAATACTAAAGCCAAGATAGTTTTTCTTTTCAAGCAGGGCAGAAAACCACTGCATATATACGTTTTACTTTGATCATGATAATGATGTGGGTGTGTGAAGCCAGATTAGAAGTACCACGGCTGGATATTTTTAGGATTTGAAGGGCAATCAAGGTTATGGGGGGTCGATATTTTGGACCAGAGAATGGGCGACATTGAGGGGAGTTGGTTGTTGGTGTGGTGTGGGGGCTTTGATAGCTGCATTTCTCTGATAAAAGTTTAATAAGTTGGGCCTCCACTTTGTCTCTAACCATCAAGTGCCAGTGGTCCTCTCTCTACTCTATCTCTCCCTTTCCCAGTACAAATTAGTCTTTCATCACTCAATAGTCAATTCAGAGATGGATAGGTCATATTCGAGATTCGTGGGCTCAACCCAACCATCTAAGAAACAGCAAACAGCATTATCCAAGCCCAAGGCCCCAAGCCCGCAGCCCCGCACTGACCTTTTGACTCTCTCTCTCTCTCAAGAGTTATTTTCTGTCCCCTCCCTTGCAGTAGAGTTCAAATCAGCCCCCACAAAATTGTCCTCCACAATGTCCCACACAATATCCCCGCCATGTATTGGGAACATCTTTCTAATGATGACATCAAAATTTTGGTATATCATGAGGAGATGTTCTTAATACACGATGAAGATGTATGATCGCCCTGCAGTAGTCCACGGGATCAAAGATCTGTGTGCCACGTGTATATCCATTGGCTGAGTTTGGGCTGAAAATCGAAGTGAGTGTGAGTGGACCACCATCGAAATCCATTAGATCAATATATATATCATGGGTTGTACCATGATTGATTAAGTGGTGCGCCCCCATGGACCACCTGCACCGCTTTATATCATGATCCAACGGGACCAAATAACAAAAGTTTGGGAGAAAAGCTGAAAAGGTTTTAGATCTATACAACGCAGGGTTTTATTGTCACTAGTCTAGTCACTACAACAATGTGGAATGCAATTCATTCGTCCAATTGGCCAGGCCCTTTGTACTACACTAATCCATTGCTAATTGTTTGTCATCTTCTCCTCAAGCTGAGCTTTTCTCTTAATTGAAGGGAAAATTCTCGATTACTATCCTCTACTTTGGGCCTAATGTTACTTTGACCCCTGAACTTTAAAATATAACAATTCAGTACCCAAACTTCAAAACGTATCAATTTAGTATCTAATGTTAACCATCTGTTAAAGGTATTTGAAACGATACAAATGTCCTTTGAATCTCATCTAATTTTCTTTATCAATCATCTAAATATTGACAAAAAATAAACAGTCCCAAATCCTTTTTTCTTCTTCTATTCAAGAAAGTTGGGGTCACATCTCAATGAACATTTTGGTGACACCAACTTTTTTGAATAGAAGAGGCAAAAATTTGTGACTGTTCATTTTTTGTCAATGTTTGGATGGTTGATAAAGAAAATTAGATAACACTCAAAGAGCATTTGTGTTTTCTCAAATGTCACTTAACAAATGATTAACAAAATGGTTAATAGTAGGTACTAAATTGGCACATGTTGAAAATTCAAATACTAAATTGTCGCACTTTAAAGTTCGGGGGCCAAAGTGGCACTAGGCCCAAAGTACATGGTACTAATCAGGAATTTTCCCTTAATTGAATTACCTACATTGTTCAAACAAATGGGCATAATTAGACTGCTAATATCTTGCAGTGAACTGCTCCAAGACTCTAAAGAAATTTGACATTTTGATGCAAAGGAAATGAAATGATTGAAGAATAAAGTAGGGTCCATTTGGTTCATAATTGGAATTGAAATAAAAAATCTGTTGGAATCAGAATCAGAATGGTCTATTCCCATAAGAATTGAAATAAATTGGAATAGGATTTTATTTACAAGAGAGGGGAATAGCATCTCTCAAGTGGGGAACCGCCATTCCTCCAGAAACGGGAATGGGATTACAATTCCACCCAACCAGACAGTTGACATTGGAATGGCCCATTCTGATTCCAATTTCAGACCCCTATTCCCGCATACCAAATGGACCCTTGGAAAAATGTTAATGTTTAATGAACCTAGTTAATGTTGTTATGATTTCTTCTTCATCATTGGGACTCAAATGTAAATAAGTTAGAGACCAAGCGATGGTTCTGACGATGCACAATGGTTCTATCAATTCCAGGAATTGTAAATCATTAGTTAGAAGCCTATCAAACTATAGAAAACTAGAGAAGTTGAAACCTTATTAGTCTCTCAAAGTCTTCTTGAATAATGTGGGACACAGGAACAAGAAAACCTCAACTTTACAAACGGTGGATGACTGGATGTTTAAGTTTAACACAAAAGATGTCTTTTCGAGTTTTCTCAAGAGAAACCGAGCAAGCTAAAAACTTCAGAATATGTTTATTTTAAAAGCTTATGGAAATATATAATTAATTTTATAAAATAATAATTAACTCAAAATATGAAAACTTAAAAACACTTTATTTTTACACATTTTCTAATAGAAAAGATCCAACAAGAAACTTCATTATGTGTCAACACAAGTTAGACTTCTGGAAATGAAAATATGTTTCTATTTCTTTTTCTATTTTTGAAAGCATGTTTTTGTAAGTCTCAAAAGTGGGGAGAATTTAAGTAATCAAACTGAAAATGTTCACTTTTCTTTGAGAAAACATGTGTTGAAGAATTTGCTTTTGCTTTTCAGATGAAATAGCATATTTAGAAAAAAGAAACAAAAATATTCATCTTGAAGAACCCCTACACATAAAAATCATGGCCACAAGACCAGACACCAGACAGCTTTTAACATTTTGGAGAAATCTCTCTTAGGGCCAGGTGGTTGGTTATTGGAGGCTAGACCTTTAGCATTTTATGTTAATGCTTAATAGTAGTTTAGAAGATGAACCCCTGAAACAAGACACCATCTCCCCTATTCCAACCAAGAAAGCTAGAAAGAAAGACACCTTGAGGCAGAACCTTCCTATTATTGAGAAGCCCAGCACGCTCTGGCCCATCCCTATAGACAACGCAACCGGTCACAACTCAAAGAGTCCAAATCAAATGGGACATATCAAGTGAACAGATATTGGTTGTTTTAAGTTTACATTAGATAAATATAAGAGAAATACTGAATTCGAACTTGAATTTGTAACAAACAATATATACCGAATATACCAACGCACGAAGGAATCATTCCGGATATCACTGATCCTCTTCACAATCACTAGGAAAAAGTTGTAACACCTGGCGAGAGAGAGAGAGAGAGAGACAAATGAATAACAATTCTCTTCTAAATTTAATGGAAAATTTGCAATTCTTTGAAGTTGAAACCAACTTCATTTTATCCTTTTTCTTTTTGAATGAGGAACCTTTGATTAACAAAAAGATACAACAAAAAACAAGAATCGGTGGGCAATACAATGACCGATCGGGGGAACTTTCCACCCACTTGAGCTCTTAGTGCTGTTTGATGAGTGATTGATTTGGATAAATTGAATCTCCAAAGCTTGAACTGCAGCACACGATGAATGTCCTCAAAGAACATTTGTTGGCATTTTACCAAACTAATTCATTTTTTTCCGCGAGCTTAGTTGGGCAGTGGTATAACCAATGTACAAATAATTACACAAAATGCTGGGTTGGATATTCATGTTCGTGTCCATTATAGTCATAATACAACCTCTCTCCCTTTGCTATATCTCTGTTTGCAATCAGTAAAACCCGGCATTCTCCATTGACATCAAACCTCACACATTTCAGATTTTGCTTCTTTTTTCCATCCCTGCTTCATATAAAACATTGAATTCAATCAAATTGCAGTAACTTGAATATAATCATGAAGATGCGAGCAGTGTAGAGAAAGTCCATATATCAAACAGGTGAGATCATCCCAGCAGATGAATGTTTGAAAGTAGAAGACCCATGAAGGAACCATTAAATGGGGGCAAAACTATTGATGAATGGGAAGAAATTTTTTATGCTAAACAGGAGATAACTTACGGAGTATAATTATTGATGCCACTAATGAAGCGGGCAATGTTACCACGCTTATCAGGACATATGACAAGACTTTGCGATGGATTAGCAGCGGAAACTAGGGTCATCATGCTATCACCATCATCATGTTCACGATTCTTCAAATAATCAACATCCCCAGTGTATTCTGCGATTATCGTTAAATCTTTTATGAATTTATCTGCTTCCACTGTAAACCTGTACCGACAGTAAGCTCACTAAGCCAACATTTCAAAGTGAAAAATAGAACTGCAAGGAAAATTCACAGAACTGAGAATCCCTGTCAAATAAAAATATGAACTCACCCTTCTTGGGGATCAAAAACAACTAAAAGTGGAGGCCATTCCCCTGTTTCCATCATCTTTTTGCACAGATTCAATGTCTCGGCATCATCTCGTGACAAGACCTGAATGCATGATTTCTCAGAGATTTAACTCGAAGTAACAAACAGATATATGAGAAGAAAACTATAACCGGTCACTATAATTGCTTAATAAAATCTTCGTCAATTCTCCTCAAAAAAAAAATATAAAATTTAACCGATCACTATAATTGCTTAACGAAATACTAATATAATATAATACACTGGTTAGTATTCTTTATTTGTGATCTGACTATGTGAAGACAATTGACGTAATTTACCTTAATTTAGTTCCTAGCCAGTGTCAAATTCCAGTCGTGCATTGTTGTACTTTTATATAATAGGTCTCTCCAAGGTATCTATAGCATCCAAAGTTGGTTCAACCAGACATGGTGGAGTCAGAATTTATCTGATTGCCTGTTGTCCGGTGAACTGAAAACTGTGGGTGGTAGCAAATTTTGCTCGTCCCAGTAGGGCGGCGGAGATTATTGTAGTTTGAATGTTCCCAACAAATTGGGTGGACTCACTACTCAGGAAGCAAGGTGGCTGAATCCAACTATTCATGTTTGTGCATAAAATAAATCCGTGACACCTATCAACTTTTACCTGCATTCCTCCCTGCTCAAAAACTGCCCGATTTGCAGATTTGGGAGCCATTCCGGGCATGTAAGTAAGCTCATTGCTGAATTTCGTACCGGTCGCTGTCAATGCCGTTGCCAAAGATGCCATCTGTTCCAATCTTCTTGCAGGATCCTCGGTGGGATTGAACGGCAAAAGTTTCCTCTTCTTCTTGGACATCACTAAACTTCCGACGCGCTTTCTTTTCCTCCTAACATCTAAAGCAACTCATTCCAGTCAGTCCATCCATCCAGAACTTTTTACAAAAATCAAAAACCTATGAAAATTGAATCCAACTAAAACGATCCATACCGTTATTCAGCTTCTGGGTCGATTCCGAAGACCTCTGAATCCGAAAGAAGTCGATGATTTTAGTTTGAATTAGAGGAAACTCTGCAAATCAGAACGAAATCCATTAGCCCTTTGACGTGAATACATACACAAATAAAAAAAAAAACAAACAAACAAATTATATGGAAAGAAATGCAATAAGCCATTAGGCGTACTTCTGAACTTCTTATGGCGAGAGCAAGGTGGGCAAAACCAAGACCCTTTTGGCACCGAAACAAGGACGGGGCGGAGGCAGAATAGGTGAAACCCCCGGTCACACTTGTCGCAGAGGAGAAGCTCGTCAGATGCATCACCGGACCGGCATTCCTCGCAATAGACATCACTATAATCTTTTTCACCTTCCTCTATATCTGTCAATGACAGAGGACAGAGAGGAGCTGGGGCTTGCGTTCTTCTCCTTTTGAGGGTTGTCGCTGTAGCCATGGCCAGAATGCGTAGTAGCGACTAGCGAGCACCGAGAGAGAAAGAGAGGATGTGAAAGAGCTCTAGGCGAGTTCTTCTGTTATTCTGAATAGTACTTAAACCGAATGTGGGGCTTTCGCGCCCTATATCATTTTCGCGGGAAACAAAATTTCTTGGCGCCAACCATATCCATTGGGTTAGAGGAGTCCGGATCTGCTCCTCGCGCCGATCTCACATGCACATTTTATCATGGGGAACATCTCCGGTATTTATAAATTATTATTCAAGGGAGATCCCAATGCACGGTGGATGTGCCTGTGAGGCGCCCAAGTGTGAGGAGCAGATCTCGTCCCGGGTTAGAGGCCTCATAGACGTTATGTTAATACTGAATTCATAGTGACAGGATCTGCACCTCACAAATGGGTGCCGCGCAGGCACGAAACGGGATATGCTCCTCACAAATGGGCATCATAGGCACATTCATCGTGCATTGAAAACATCTCCCGTGAATAATAATTGATAAGTACGGAAGATGTTCACAATGTATGGTAGGATGTGCATGTAAAACGTCTGTGAGGCACCAGGTGTGAGGAGTAGATCCAATCTCCACAGGTACATCCATCGTGCATTGAGAACATCTCCCATAAATAATAGCCAATAAGCGGGAGATGTTCCCAATGCATGATGTGCATGTGAGGCACCACGTGTAAAGAGCAGATCCAATCTCAAATTCACATCTGTGCCCCAAAAACTCCCTACAGCAGTGGGGCGCACAGAGTGGGGGTGCATATGTGAACTTCGTTATACCACGTGTACGTCAGCAAAACAATCAGATTTAACTGTTACAATCTTGAACGTATTCATCTAGAGAGTTCACATCAGCCCCAAGGGGGCACCCTACAACTGCCCACAACACATCTCAGTCATGTAATGGAAAGATTTCCGGATGATGTATCATTATCATCGGTCCCATCCTATGGCTATGAATGTACTTTTAGTCGGACCGGATAGGACAAGAAACCGTTTTGGGCACCAGTTCTTGGGTCGAACAGTCAAACCATCTGATTCAAACGAATGGACCATTCTGACTGAAAATAAAAAAAATTAAGGCCCAAAAAACGTTGTCAAAGTTATGGTTCGACCACCTAAATCAACTAGTTGTTGACCAAATCAATGGTTTTTATCTAAAAATTGGTTTTAAAGTAAAACGGAACTAATTACCTGATCAAATCCTGGGTTTTTTGGTCTGATCCAATCCGGGTTTGAAAACCATGCTTTTATCAATTTATGTATACCAAGGGAATTGTCTATCATATAACTTAGAATAATGCAGGCTATGTAGCCTACAATAGTATGTGAGACCATTCATGGGTCTCATATTACAATAATCAACACATCAACAGCCATGATAACAAGGTAAATTATTAAATCCTTCTCTTGCACTCTATGCTGTGTGTTATTCTTCTGGGGCAAATTTTGTAAACTACCCTTATGGTCTAGTTAATTGACTAAGTATATCCTTACTGTTTGACTATTGTCTAACGCTACCCATACTGTCTCAAAAAATTACCATTGTCGTTTAATATTAACAGAAGGGCTAAAATCTCAATTTTACCCTTCCATTAAATCTCTTTGAAAACAGTTCTCTCTCCTATACCTCTCTCATTCTCTCTCATTCATCTCCGCACAACGAAGTCACCGTCACCACTGCTGCGTCCCTTCTCCCCCCCCCCTCCCTCTCCCTCTCCCTCTCTACCAACACACTTTGTTCTCTAACCTGTTCAAATACCACCCAAGAGGATTGAAGGTTGTAGAAACAAAAATGGAGACGTCTAAGAAAGGGAGGCTCTTGAAGAAGAGTCAACACTGCCTGGATATGCTTGGCAAGAGGTGGTGGTGGAAAAGGCTTCTAAAAGAACCTCCTTGGTGTGGAATTAGAGCTCAGTGCCAAAGATTTCTTATAGAGCAAATAATGAGTAGGACATAGGCTGTAAATAGGAGAAAAAAAAGGATATTTTTTTCCTACTTCTGCCTCTGCTTCATTTTCCCTATTAACATAATTCATAGAAGGCTTAGGGTATTTCCTGCACTCACTCCTCTTCTTTGTTAGCGTAAAGATCAAGTCTTGGGGAGGGTTTCAAACTGTAGAGCCCCATTTCCCCTACCTAAACCCTAATTTAACACATCTCTCCCCAAATCAAATTAGTTCAATCAAGGGCCTCTCTCTCTCTCTCTCTGCGACTCTCGACTTGTTCTCTTAGAGAGAGAAAGAGAGGGGGAAGAGGGGAACGGTGGGAAAAGAGTAAAATGAACAATGAGGAAGAGATCTAGGGTTTTAAAGATCCGAGATTATGATTATGGAGAAGAAACGTGATCTCACCCAGGGATTTACTGAGATGAAGAAAAGGAAAGAGGGTTGAGAGAATATCTCAGCAGGAGAGGATTTTTCCAACTCGAACATGGTCTTCATGATTTCTTCTCCGTTGTCGTCGATCTCTCTGGTGGCTCCATCTGTTGTGGTTGTTGTGACAGTTGTTGTTGCTCTTCTATCTTACATAAATAGATAGAGGGAAGAGAGGTCGGAGGAGGGTGTCTTGTTTTAGAAAGAGAAGAAGAAGGAGAAAATGAAGAAAGAGAATGAAAGAGGGAAGAGAGAGAAAGAGAGAGAGGTCGGAGGAGGAAGGGGGTTCCGGACCTGCCAGTCGAGAGGAAGGGGACGAGGGTAATATTGGTTTTAAAAAATTTAAATGTCACGTTTGTATGGGTTTTGATGGAATATTGATAGATGTTAACGATAAGGGTAGAACTAATCAATCATAAAAAACAATAGGGATAGCGTTAGACAATAATCACACAATAAGAGTATACTTAGTCAATTAGTTAAACTATAAGGGTAGTTTAGGAAATTTGTCCATTCCTCTGTTGGTGTTTAGAATCGGTCATACCCAGTACATGAACGCAGATCACAAAACCCTAACCACATTCATAGGCACATAACACACATCAAACATCAAGAACAACTGACAATAAAAAATAGAAGAGATGTTCTAGCCGTAGGTGTTGTATATACACACATTTCGTGATCACTAGATACTAGTGCAAGGCAACGTCATAAGCATAGGCTGTAATTAAAGGATAAAGATATAATATGGTTTTATAAAATCAAATTTAAATTTTATAACATGCATTAAAATCAAAGACAAGTATTTGCTTTTATAATAGTATAGATGGGCTTCTTAGTACATCTGCCACTTTTTTTTGGTAAGAGCCTCTTATTTTAGATTTCAATAGACCTGTTCATGGGCCAGGTTCGGGCTTGGCTTTTGCCAAATTTTGAATGGACCCGGCCCAAAGCCCGAGCCCAACATAATGTAAAGTCAGGCCCGAAGCCCGACCCGTGAACAGGTCTAGTTTCATGTGTTGAGACTGACATGAATTGAATCCATCCAACCTACTACATCAACTAAATAATAGCTAGATGCTCGGAACACTTAAGATTTGTTCGATTGCACTTACATTTTACATCTAAAAAGCAAAATATCTCTGAGAAAAGTATTGCGAAAATTTGTGATTTAATAATAATAATAATAATAGTAAATTAGTTAATTGCAATTCAATTATTATTTAATATTTAATTAATAATTTAAAATTTTTAGTTACATATTTATTTAAATAATTAATTATAACGATTAAATATATAAGTAATAACTAATTAATTATTTACTTATTAAAACATTTGGCTAAGAACATTTTTGTCAAAATAAAGTTGGGAAGGTCATCCACTATGGTCAACGATCAAAACTCGAATCCAGTCCTCACAAAATGGTGTTCACATCGTCCTCACAACCACTTGCAACCGTGTATTGGGAACACCTCTTTACTTGTATGTTTTCATTCATTGAAACATATTGTGCATACATGGAACATCTCTTCACTTGTATGTTTTCATTCATTGAGAGATATTTAGAATGCACAGCTGCAAGTGGTTACCAGTACAATGTGAGCACCGTTTTGTGAGGACTGAATCCAATCTCAAATTATCAACGGTTAGAGGTTCTTTTGTGATTTTACCAAATGCTTTGACCTTTGAAAACTTGTTAACTTTTAAGAAGTAAAATGCAATGTTTGGGGTGCAATGGAACACCAACTTCATCTATTCAATTAGTAAGAAATTATTAGTTAGATTTTATAGCTATTTTACTAGGGGTGAGCATGGGTACGTTCAGTTCGATTCCATTGTAGAACTTGGAATCGACCCCTATTGGTTAGGTTTTAGATTTTTGGAACCAGAACCTACCCTATCAAGATCTGTTCTAGGGTCAATTATGACCTTTGCAGTTCTAGGGTCGATTCCAAGTTCTACTAGTGGGAACCTATTATTTCTTTACCCCCTCCCCCCCCCTCTTCAAAAACTTGATTATCAATAAATAATAATATATAATTCAAAACTTGTATTTTTCATTATTGATTACATTGATTAGTTTAATCTATAGATTATAATAATATAATAATATATAGATCAAAACTTATTATTATAATTTAAATTTTATAAATATTATTTTTTACATTATTTATTATATACAAATATTATATTGAAAAAATGATAAAATCGTTTAAGTGATTCAATAGTCAAGATAGACCATGGTCTTTGTAACAATGAGTGTTTGGTTTCAAATATTCACATCCTTAAAGTATTATGAGATCTTTTTCCAAGGCAAACTTGATAACAAGGCTGGTTTCACCAATGTCAACCAAGGGCGATTCTACCATGGATAGTTCTCTAGATTAGTTTGGGGAGGGTAAACCCCTAGACCCTAGAACTGGCATAGGTGGAGTTGCTTCCAAGAATTTGGAAGCAAACCTACATGATAACAAATTGGGTAGGGTAAATTCAAGGCTAGTTGAGGTTAGTTCCATTTGATTATTGGTAAAATCTGCCCGTTTGCTCACCCCTATGCTTTACTTGTTTGTGGGACCAATCATTTTGCTCCACACCAGCCATAAAGTGCACATTGCCCCAACCACTCATTTTACTCTACACTCAGGCTAGTCCTAACAAATGAGACATTAAGAAGAAAATTGAGAGGCAAACTTTGTGTATATAGTATTTTTCTTGT